GAGTCCTCATCAACTGCTCGACTGAGACCGACTTCAGTGATGCTCTTCTCTAGGCTCCACCAGCACATGCTATAGCCATTCTTCCCTTTTTTCCGCCTCCCAAGACAACATCAGGCAAATGTGGGCAGACTCTCGGCATTCGTGACTAACTTTGACGCCTGACCCTGAGACATTCAGTCCCACGCACGACCCACGTCTTCTCTCGACAGGCCTGGATGTACCGGCGGAACTGGCGTCATCCTTGAAGGCTCCTTCCGGTCGGCTCTGACAAGGCTAGAGGAGTCGCTTCACTGGCCTACTCCTTCAGTAACAGTTGCCCGGCAACCAGTCTATCACTTCTACCGGTCGGCCTCACTAACCTGCTCTAGTCCCCAACTTTCACTATTCCCCACGCGGTACTGTGCTGTGCTGTGCTGTGCTGTGTTGTGCTCTGCCCTGCCCCGGGCCGCAGTAACTGGGCTGAACTTCTATCGGAATTTTTCTGCAAATTTCTCCGCCTCGAACAGGCAACATCTACCTCTGTCATGCCAACTCCGGGCTTTTCCACCACGATGCTGGCCATTCTACTGACCCTGCTCTGCGGTAAGTCAGGCTGGCGACGGACTGCCGCTTTTGCCATCGGGGAGGGCTCGTGTGGAGGGTATATGAAACAAAACAAGCCATCCCTTAGGGTCTTAATGTGGCTCGAATGCCACCCTCGAAGAAATAATTGGCTGGAAGGGAGTGATGACGACTGTCGAGTTGTGCGAAGCAGGCCTTGACGACATTGCCCTGCCAGTCCGATCCACTCGTGCTCCACTCATCTGTGTCGCGGTGACAGATAGCATCACAACCAGCATAAACACAGAAAAAACCAAGAGGGCATATTACAATAATAGTGCACAATTCACAGTTAGCCAAAGCTTGCAACATTTTCCCTACAGTCTACCCTATCATCTACTACCACTGATCTTCCTTCCCACCTACTTGCTCTGCTTTTAGCTCAAAATGACCCTTAATTTCACCTAAAAATCTATCAGTTAAAACCTGAAATTCCGCCATTGCATTGCCTGCCTGAAGGCAAAATCCTTCGATAGATATTCTTGTTAGTTCTGTTTCCGCGGTAGGCTCCTTAGATTCCGGTGCAAGCATGCTAAGCTTTCGTCCGTCGTTTGGCTGACATCATTAGATCAGGGTATCATCCTTACAGCGATATTCAAGCTAACGAGTCAAGAAAAATCACCGAGTTATTCCTAAATACAGTATATACACCATATATCTGAGCTCTTTTATGAGATATAAAATGATTTGGTTAGTTCTAGTCATATGTAAAGCTCGGAGCCAATGTATGTGTCTGCTTCTGTATGTGCATGTTTGTGCATGTGTTGGCATGTGTATGAAACCAGTAGTGATAGCCAGAAGTAACTAGAACTGTAAACACAACGTCATTACATGGCCAGGAAAGTTTGATGACCATCATCAACTCCTCTCTCTATATCTTTTAACCATCACTCTGATTGCACAAGGACGGACACACGTCTGGTTGTGTGGATGAGCTTT